ATGTGTGAGGGCGTGTCGCTGGGGAGCATTCTACACTAGCAGCTAGGCCAGACGTTTCCACGCATCTCCACGTGTCTCACTGCCATGGGCTCGTAAAGCAGGCCACTCCCTATCTGGGTGCCCCTGTAATGGGGGTGGTGCCCCTATATTTGGCTGCTGTGCATTGGATGTAGAGATCATGACTCCACCCCCCACCAAAGATGGTGCCCATGGCAAGGTGAGGCAGCGCCTATGTTACACTAAACAAATTGCTCTCGTCAGTAGGACACAATCTGTTAAATTAGCAGCAAACGCAGCACACCCAAAAAATAAATGAATAAAACAAAACATCTTCCCCTCCCGTAACGTCTCCTTCAGGGAGCAGGACAGGCAAAGAAGACAAATGTAGTGGAAGAGGCCAGGCGTGGCATGCAGCCCCACTGCATCCTGGGAGTGTGCGGCTCGTTGCTGCAGAAGGGGGCGGGGCTTGGCCTTGGTATACGTCTTTTTTTTTTGGACCTAGATAGATGATATATGATCCATTTAATCATATTTATAATCAAAAGAAGTAGAGCTTAATACTGCATCAGATTGGATAAATCAGGAAGATGGATTGTGTTTTTATTTTTTGTGTTTTACACTTGCTGAGTAATCAGCCAAAACTAGCGCACCGTCTGTACATCAGTCCTGCTTTCCTTTCTGCTTGTTTCCTAAATCAGGGATGGAGGTGGGATTGGACCCAGTCTTAGCTCCTGTGGCTCAGTCTGCTTGTTGGACTCTCTCTCAGGAAAAGTTGTTGACAATTAATCTCCTTATGAAATCCCCGTCAGGACGCGGCCTAGCTAAAGGGTGCCGAGCCGTAGAGCAGCATCTCTCCTGATTCTCAAATGGGGGGGGGGGGGGGTATACTTTTATTTAATTTGATTAATTAATGTAACCCAAGTCTCCCTTGGCCTGCCGTTAGCCAGGGCCGCCAGTGGATAAATTGCCCTAAATCAGTACGGCCCGATTGTCTGGATCGGGGGGGCTGTGCCGGGCATCATGGCGGACGCATCGGCACTCGGTCCACCTCAGATTTAAAAGGGGCTGTAATGCGAGCGACCTTGTCGTCGGCTCTCGGGGAACATGTCTAGCTGACCTCAGGAAACCAGCGAAGGAGCTTCGTTGTAAATTCTAATAAACACAAAGATCTTAATGAACCGGCAAGTATTTCAAGTAATTTTAATAAATTGGAAACACGTGTTGTTTTTTTTTTTCTTTCCTTCTCCTCCTTTCCTCCCCTCTTCTTCACCCCGGCGCCCACTTCCTGGTGCTGTACCGCGGTATGGAGGAGTCTCCGATGGCCCCCCTCCCATCTTAGTCGCGTCGGACCCCCCCCCCCCCGACCGTTCCTCATAATTCGCCGTGAGGAAGGCCACACAGCGCTCCGGGGCTCTTGCTCAAAGACGTGTTTACATAGTCGCTGGGTGAAAGATTGCAGAACTCTTACCGCCAGCTCTGAAAATGAGGCCAGAGCGGGAGAATCAGGATACGATTTGGCACTTATGAAGACTAAATGATTTCCTCTTAGCTGCTGATTTCTACTGGGAAATGTATCCTTGGACTGAAAATTGCATCCGGAAAAATGTTTATGTAGCGTTTTTTTTTTTCTTCTTTCAAATGAATGATTATTCCTATAACCTTTAACACGCACATAGCGGGATGCTGTCTCTCCCTCCACGTTAACCCCTTTCTGGCGTACGGCTGGGGGTGTTGTTGCGCGTGTGTGTGTGTGACGGGATTCTTTTGGCACCAGGTTTGACTTTTGGAGTAGACTCAGCGGGGCGCACAGCCTTTTCTGGTGATATAAACAGTCTATAGCACTAATTCTTTTCTTTTGGCCCCTGTCACAGACTGACTCACTCCTACTCTTCTGGCTTTTTAGCATGAAATCGGAGACGTTTCTCACTGCAGTCTGCTGTTGTACCAACCCCACCCCCAGCCTCAGTCATTAAGGCTTTTTTTTTGTTTTAAATACTCTAAGATGGCATTTAAATCGTTAAAAGACTTACTCACCAAGTAATCTTATAAACATTTTACCCCAAGGTCAAACCATCTATTACAGCTAACTCCACCAAACCCAGTGACAGTGATATTCTTTATGAGACACACACACACACACACACACACATATATATATATATATATATAAAAAATTAAGGATCTGTTCCTGCAAGCCACAGGACCGAAAAGGTTCTGGTTAGAGTAGACCATGTCCAGTGGAGTACTTTAATAAGGCAGACAGTTAATAAACGGTGACAAATGGCAAACTGCTAGTATTGGGTCACAGAGGCACTTCAGAGATGAAAAATAAGCTGTGATGAAATTGTACTTTTTAAAAATTCTTTCATGGTGTTTTTGTCTTACGTTTAGTGGCCTGATTAACCACAGTCTGCGGCCGGCAGCGAAATTACCGTCTTTGATTTCGGCGCCCGTGATTTACATTCACCCCCAGCCCGTGTATGTGAGTGTTTTTTTTTTTTTTTCTTTCCTCATGCAATCGACCACATTTTATAAATAATTGACCTTTCTGTTAATTGTCCTGCGTTTCCTCTGCTGCCGTGGGCTGGTTTCTAGACAGATGGACATAGCCCGCTGACGGCTTTCGTGTGAAAGGTTACAGGGAGCAGAGAGGAGGACGTATTTCACTCCAGTAGTG